TATTGTCTCCGAGTTTGTACGTGATTCACAAGGATAAATGCAACGTCAAGTGAAAATCAGTGGTGGTGGAAAGGCACCGGGGAAGAGAAAGGTAAGGGGTGCAACAAAAGCTTTTAAGAAACCCGGGGAACCCATGATTCTTGAGTTTGATGAGTTGGGTCAACCTACTGGGCAATGGCGCAGCAAATATTCGACACACATTGGGATATTGACTCGTAAAATACCGATCACACTTGACTGGGCAGAGATACCTAAAGGGTTGCTTCAAATGTTTTGGGATGATACAATGGTAAGTGTTTTGCATTTTAGTTTTTCTCAAAAAACTTCGTACCAAAATCAATGTGCATTCACCGAAATCAAGCCAAACTTCGTAACATTGGTTGTGCATCCTGCCTACTTGACTGTGCAGGGCCAGGGCTGTGTGCAGCCTGCCAGGGCTACTGTGCAGCTGCCTAGGCTGGCTGTGCAGCCTGCCAGGGCTGCTGTCACTATTACATTTTTTATCTAATGCAATGGTACAAAATAGCTAATACAACGGCTAATTTTATACCGTTGTATTAGACAAGGCTAATCCGTTGTATTACACTAAAACAGGGATAAAACAACGGTTTATACTAACTGTTGTATTAGATAAACTAATCCGTTGTATTAGATGAGCTAATCCAACGGATTATTCTTCTAACACAACGGATAGTGTTCCCGAAATTTTTTTTTTTTAATTTTTCAGTTGGAGCTAATCCAACGGATCAAACCCCAATTACTAAAAAAAGAACAAAAATAATAATACCTAATACAACGGATGAGTAAAAAAAAAAAAAAAAACCTGGAATGCTGAAATATTAGAGCCAAAAATGAAATTGAAACCCCAATTCCCAAACTTCTCAGCAGTCTTCCTTCGTTCTCCTCCCTCGCTGCTGCTCTCTTTCCTTCGTACTCCTCCGCTGCTGCTCGTTGCTTCGTTCTCCTCCCTCGCCGCCGCCGTTGCTTCGTTCTCCTTCCTCGCCGTTTGTTTTGCTGTGCTCGAATCTCTATCTGAGGTAGGTATACCTTCAATTTTCGTCTACCATGGATTTGTTGATTTTGTTTTGTATTTAGTTTTAGTTTGAACCTTGCATGTGGCTGATTGCTCGAATCTTTGGATTTAGATTTGTTGATTTGTTCGAATGTTGCATGTGGCTGATTGCTTGCTTGAGGGTGGTTGTTGGGGGTGGTTTTTCGATTTATGAACCCTAATTTTTTTGGGGGTTTATTTGGGAATACTTAACATAAACCTGTTGAAGTTAGCTGATTTTTGTTGTGAAATTTTAGTTATCTCCCATTGAATGTCACCGAATGTCTTTAGTTGCTTCGAAGGTTATTTTTTTTGCATCAGTGCAATGTTCAGCCTGCAGCTACGGATGTTCTCTATTCGTGGTGCATTACTCCCATTTTATAATGTGAAGAGCAATTTCAATGCTGCTGTGCTTTTTCCGGGTCTAAATATATGTCAACTAGGAGTGACATGACTACCTGTTTAGAAGAAAATAGACATGACTACCTGTTTGAAATACTACCTTGGTGGAGTCTCTTTTTTAGTTTCTGTTTCTTGATTACGACTGAGGGTATGCCTTTACCGGTGGAGTCGTATCAAATGTAGACCTCTCCTCACTCCCATCAAAACTGTAATAGGTACTACTTAGTGGCTGTTGTTGCCATTGTTGATTTTGTAATATGAAGTCATCTATCTTTTAAGTGCTTAGTAATTTTGTGGATGGACTTAAATTCGACATCTAACATAGACACATAGTTTCTTTTCTGGAGGAAAAACCTGAATTTAGACTCACATTTCTGTCAATTGAGGAATGATGATTTGGAGGTGCTTGATAGGTGCATTTCTGTTGTAGTTAGAGCATTCAGTCAACATCAAATATCTCTTTCCCATTTTTCTTAGAAACCTGAGGATTGCATGAGCAGATATCTATGATCATAACAGGCTAGCAGCAATGGGTTATCTCCACACTAACATGATCTGCTAATTGAATTGTGCTGCGAATCCCTGTGTTGTAGCAAGTATCAACACCTAAGTGATCGATTTGCTAGCTAACCGCAACCCTATGTGCTGTTGTTACACCTAAGTGATCCATTCTCTAACTAACTGTTGACTCGGAGAAACTACTTCACTTTTTGTAAATTAGTTCAGTAATTGTAGTTTCATACTTTGAGAGGATATGATAAGTGCATATTTGAATTTCTAAGCGTAAGTGAACAACTAAACTGATTACTGCATGCTTGTGTCTGATTTTCATCTAATTTTGTTACTGTCATTCTCAATCATGTTCAGTGCAAGAAGCTGTATGTATTTATACTCGTAGTTCATAGCGAGGGCACAAGTTCTTGATATTTCAAGCTAGTAGACTTGAGGCAATAGTGTAGCATACTGTGTTAGTCATAGTAATTGCTTGTTATATCTTCATTATGTTGATCTGCTATAAATTTAAGTACTTTTGGTAAAATAATTTTCTCCTGAGTTTTGCTGAGCTAATTTAAGCAGATGATGACAAACTTAAACACATTAAAGCTTTAAATAACCCTTAAGATATAACATGCAAGATTGTACATATATCATTGCTGCAAATGGGACACTAATTGCCAAACTTGCATTAATTCATTTACAAAAAAGACCAAAATTAACCCATATACCCTTTTTCCCCTGTAGTACAATCTACTTATTGAATATCTCCCCTCCCCAAAAAACCCAAAATAAAAAAGAAAAATTAGTAGGATTATCATTATCATTATCCCCCTCTTAATTAACATCCTCAAAAGGTAAAAATCCTCCCTAATTTCTCTCTCTCCTAAGAGTAATCAACATGCCCATTAATACTGGAACATGTTAACTGAAGCCATGATTGGCTGATTTGAGTAGGTAGTAGAATCCCATGGGTTATAAGAAAGCTGGCAGTTGTAAATGGCTCTGGAATAATTGTGGGAAAGATCCCTTCTGAAGCCATTTAACTATTCAAGGACAGCAATCATTTTAATTTTTTTTAGACTATTTAATAGGGAAATAAATTTCTATGGCTTGCTTGACCTTTAAGTGAAACAAGGTATATTGTCCATGCAAATCAAGTTTGAGGTTTGTGTGCATATCCCAGAGTGTTCCACCGTAGTTACTAATTAGTTAATGATGCAGCTATAGTATCTTCTAGGGACTGTCAATTGTGATGGACTTTGCAACGTAAGTTTCATGTGCCTGACAATCTGACATATACTAATGTTTAGCAGCTTGACCACTGGTTGCTAATCTAATAGTGCTCTGTTGTTTTTGTGCATGTTTTTGTTCCCTTTTTAAAATTTTCTTTCCCTGGTTTATCGCAATCCGTAGTGCAGGTGACATAAGAGGCTTTCGATCTTATCGATGTTTGGTACCCTACCAAGTTACAACAGTCTAAAAGAATTATTATAGTTTTGCATCCTAGGTCTTTTAAGAGGGATGCCACTGGCAATTTTTCCTGTAGCAAAAATGAAGACTGCTGCATGTATTTCAGTCACTTGTAGTGAGTTAGAGACTCAGTTGGTGCCTTTAATATCCTGGAATTGTTGCATTCAAACTAGCTTTCTGTCATTTGTATTTTGATTCTAATTGTGTTGTACTCACATTTCTCTATCTTCACAAATTGGATATGGTTAGCTCACCTAGCTGACATGCAACATAAACACACACACACACACACACACATGTTGCATTTATTGCATAAGCCTGGTATTGCTCTGATAAATTGATGGTATTTCCAGTGGTGATCTTTAAGCTTCAGTGATGAATTGGTTTGAAAATCTGTTGGCCTTCAGGCCTTGTTCCATTTGTGAAGTTTGTTGTGTCATGTGATCCCTTTGCACAGTTTACATTGTGACATACCCTCTCGCCAATTTTGGCATACTTACCAATTAGCCTTTTGTGCCTTGGTGCTCTATAATGAGTGTAATCTGTTCTTGTGTTGCTATGAGCAAACTTTTTATGACTTGTTGACATTGTGGCGGGGGCTTGGTTTTAGTTATTTTTTTTCCTGCTGTTTGACTTTCTAATGCTGGCATGTTATCTCAGTGGTGCCTGGAAGGATTTGGAACTCAAAAGAATACAACTTTAAAGCTAAAGGTCTTCCACCTGAAGGTGGTCATTTGCATCCCTTACTCAAGGTTAGGCTGCTTGTTCTATTTCCTTAAATTCTCTTTTGCAGGGGTAGTTTTTAAAGCATTTCCATTTGGTTGCAGCAATTTGTTATTTAGTTGAAATGCAACTTATTGGCTAATTTGAAATTTTGAATTGGATATCTGCATGTTATGGATGTTTGTACTATTGTTATAAATAATTGCTTATTGTGTGGTTAGAACTCTCAGAAGCCAATTTTTTTTTACAAGTTCCAACCGGGCAATGATATTGGGAATGAGCACATAATGTTTTTGTGGAATGTTACGATGTTTTTTTGATGCAAATAATGTTTTTTTTTGTAATTCTTTGGCATTTTCTGGTGTTTTTAAGTAGTGTTTTGCTATAGTATTGATTTAAGGCCCTTGGATTTAATGAAGAATGGACAGTATGTAATTTAAGTCCGACCTGTGGGTGCAACGTTGTTCCCTTGGCCACCATTAATTTTTTGTGTTTAAAGCTCTCTAATCTTTACTTATGTAGGGAATATGTGTAAAACCCAATTAATGTCTATAACTCTGTATCTTGTCATTAATTCTGAGTCTGCTTACACACTATATTAGTATAGGCTAGCTTGGTGTTCATCTTGTGTTTTGGTAATTTTCCTGCATTATATGTTAGCTATTTGACAATAACACTTCCTTATCTAGAAGGGGTGTATTTAGTGTCTGGGATAGAATTATATAGTTCATTGATCACCTTTGTGCCGCACCTCCATGAGAACACCTCCATGAAAAATAATGAGAGTTGTACAGGTTATGTGACTTTATCCTTTGGCACCTATTTACACTGTTAATTTCTATTTTTACCCTAAGGAATGGAAGGTGGAACTAAGAATTGGTGGATGTTTGCCAAATGGAGCGATGAATATGAACAAGGAGTCGACGAATATGTCAAAAGGGCTTTTGCTATTAAGTCTCAAGGAAATCAAATTTGTTGTCCATGTCAAATTAGTCATTATCGTTTTTGGCGGTGTGAAGGTGTGGTGAGAGACCATTTAATTTGTAATGGTTTTGTTCCAAGATCGGATAAGTTATCAGATTTAGGGTTCAATATCCAAAGAGAAGAAACTATTTTGGATAATGATGAAGGGTCCATCCCAAATGAATCTAGCGATGACGTAGTGAGGTTGTTGCATGATGCACGTGATGCTTTTAGAGATGGGCCAAATGATGAGGCAAAAAAGTTTTTGAGGTTAGTTGAAGAAGGGCAAGAAGAATTGTATCCTGGTTCCAAAAATCACTCAAAACTTTCCTTCATGATTCGACTTTTTATTTTAAAGTGTGATCATAATCTAACCAATGCCGTATTTGGAGATATATTAGAGCTTATAAGGGAGGTGTTGCCTGATGCAAAGTTGCCAGCTTCTTTCAATGAAGCAAAAAGTGTTTTGAAAGTGCTGGGGTTTGATTATACAAAGATTAATGCATGTCCAAACGATTGCATGATATATTGGGAAGAGCATGAAAATGCAACAAGCTGCCATGTTTGTAAAACACCAAGATGGAAATCAAAGGACAAAGAGGATGACATAGAAAATGGTAAGGGAAAGACCTATAGAATTCCTCAAAAGATTCTTAGGTACTTTTCGATAAAGAAAAGGCTTCAACGACTATTTATGTGTCAAGAGACGGCGAGATACATGACTTGGCATGCGGATGGGCGTGAAACTGATCATCTTTTACATCATCCAGTTGACGGCCAAGCTTGGAGGGAATTTGATTCCTTATACAAAGAGTTTTCTGATGACCCGCGCAATGTGAGGCTAGGACTAGCCACAGATGGCTTCAGCCCGTTCAACTCAATGAGTATTGTACATAGTACTTGGCCAGTTATGTTGATAAATTACAACTTGCCTCCTTGGATGATTATGAAGCCTGAGTATTTGATGTTAGCACTACTAATTCCGGGTCCTTCTTCCCCAGGCAATGACCTTGACATATATTTGCAACCACTAATGAAGGACTTGAAGGATTTGTGGGAGTTCGGACTGGAAACTTATGATGCTTCGAGTAACCAGAGGTTTCACATGCATGTAGCATTGATGACCACCGTGAGTGATTTTCCTGCTTACGCGATGTTATCTGGCTGGAGCACAAAAGGATACTTGGCGTGCCCTGAGTGTCATTATGAATTAGATTCTGAGTGGTTGCCTTATAGTGCTAAGAATGTGTATAGGGCAAATCGTAAATTTCTACCTCCATTTCACCCTTGGCGTTGTGATAAGAGGAATTTTGATGGGAAAGTTGAGGAAAGACATCAACCTACTCCATTGAATGGAATTGATGTAGCTAATCTGTTGCGTGATTTTTCCAAATGAATTTGGAAAGAAGCAAAAGAAACCAAGGCGTGATGTTGATGATCCGAACCCGTGGAAAAAAAGGGTCATTCTTTTCGAGTTACCATATTGGAAGCATTGTCTTAATCATCACAACCTCGATGTAATGCATATTGAGAAAAATGTGTTTGATAGTGTCATTGGGAAATTGTTAGACATTTCTCAAAAGACCAAGGATCATAAGAGTGCTCGTCGAGATTTGGTAGAGCTTAATTTGATGCCGGAGCTTCAACCAAGAGAATTGGAAGATGGTGGTGAAGAATTTCCAAGATCCCGCTTTTGGATGTCATTGGAGCAAAAACGTAAATTCTGCCAAGTCTTCAAAAATGCCAAATTTCCTCAAGGCTATGCTTCTAACATTGGTCGATGTGTACAAGTTGGGGAAAGGAAAATTGCAGGCTACAAAAGCCACGATGCACATTTTATGATGAATTATTTGCTCCCAATTGTAGTGAAGACAACATTATCCAAAGATGTTGCTACTCCTTTGATTAGACTTTGTGCTTTTTTTAAAATTATATGGAGTAAAATGGTTGATCCTCAACATCTTGAAAAATTGCAATCTGAGTTAGTTGAAACATTATGCCTACTTGAGAGGATTTTTCCACCTGCCTTTTTTGATATAATGGTACATCTACCTCTACACTTAGTGGGCCAAATTAAATTGGGTGGACCTGTAAGTTCAAGGTGTATGTATGGGATTGAGAGGTATCTTCATGGACTAAAGCAAGATGTTCGAAATAAAGCTCGTCCAGAAGGCTCAATGGCAGAAGGATATCTAGCCAAAGAATGTGTTGCCTTTGTAGCTAGATTTTTGAAAGGATCAAACTCGGCCACACTTCAGGTTAATGCTTGTAGTACATCACAATCATTTCTTCCTAAGGTAGGACGTCCAGTAAAAGGGAAAGGAAGGACATCAAAGAAAAAAGACCGTGAACACATACTTGATCACAATCAATGGGTACAAGCGCATCGTTATGTCTTGTTCAATTGTGACTGCGAGGAAGTTGAGAAAATATATAAGGTTAGATTACCAACCAAAATGTAGTTTTTTTTCTTTTTTCTCTTGGTTTTCAATATGTTTTTAATTGTAGTGTTAATAAAGTAATCTTTTTATATTTCATAGTGAGCACAAGGAATTTGTAAGCGCTAGAGGAAAAAGGAAATGGAATAGCATTCAAGATCACAGCAAGGATTTTGTGGATTGGTTTAGGGAGAAAGTTGATTTCATTGTTGAAGAGGGCCAAGACATCATCCCTAACAATATCATATGGTTATCAAAAGATCCTTCTTACATTGCTAAAAAGTATACTGGGTACTCAGTCAATGGTTATAGCTAGGTTCCATACCATGAAGCGCGATGCTAATTGTGTAACTCAAAATAGTGGAGTCACTCTAACGGCCATGACACATAGCTTTGCAAGTTCCAAAGATCAAAATCCTATTGAGGCTAATGTCAATTATTATGGTTCAATAACAGACATTATTTCAATATCTTACCATGGCTACTTCTGTGTCGTCTTATTTAAGTGTGTGTGGTTTCACTCTGAAAAAGACGATGATGAGCTTGTAATGATTAATATGTCTAAGACAATTTCTAAAGAAGAACCATTTATCTTGGAATCTCAAGCACATCAAGTGTTTTATGTTGAAGATCTTAATAGAGATGGTTGGCGTTATGCTGTTCAAATCCCTCCTAGAGAGCTTTCTGATGGTTTTTTCCCTAACAATTTATATTACATTATATTGCACTACTTTCCATATTATATTATATTATATTATATTGCATTGTTTTTCATATTATTATCTTTTATGGTTTGTAAACATGTTCTCATTGAATGGCTTTGCAGATGAAGGGGAGTAAAGCAAAAGCTTCTGATTCCCAAAGTCAGCTTCCAGACTATGAGTTACAAAGGCTCAGAAAATTGAAGTATAATGCTGAAAGAATGTCAGCCCAAGGATCGGGATCCTTGGCGAATAAGATACTGCAACAAAAAACACGCGACATACTTTGTTCGAGTGTGAGGCATACAGATGATGGCTCCTCAGGAGACTTTGATATGGAACAGGAAACTCTTGGTAGTGGAAAAAGACAAGTATGTGAAAAGGTATCTTTAGTAACTTGAATTTGTTGCTTTGTATATATATGTATTACTTATATATATTAATTGTTTGACTTATGCATTACTTGTTTTGCTTTTGTTTTATAGGTCTCTTCTCAACAACATCCAGTTCCTACACGGGAAATTCAAAGGAAGCAGCAAGAACAGCAATTGGGGTCAACAAAGGCATTTGTGAAGAAAAGAGCTTCTGTTCTCTTGGCTCAATGTCAGCCTACCTCGAGTTTCGGAAACGACAAAAAGATGAAGCGCTGATGATGAGCAGTGAGGTGCATGAAAAAGGGCAAAATTATGATGATAAGCAGCTGAATGAGACCGATGATGCTCTTCAGTTCAATTGTGAGGGCAATGATGAGGGCAATGAAGCAGCGGACCGAGCAGTTATAGCACAGTTTGGAATGGAAGGTATATTCTGATCATGATATTCTTGTTATATACATACATACATATATGTACTTCATGTACAACAACACAGAGTGACCTTTATAACAGATCAGCAGATAACATTTTTTAAGAGTTCGATTTTTCTGATTTGATTTTAAGAGTTTCGCATGGAGTTTGATTTTTTTTAGTTCGATTTTGCAAATGTAGGCTTCGATTTTTGCTTATTTTTGCGGATCTATAGTTCGATTTTAGATTTTGAATTTCAGAGATTTAGTGTTCGAATTTAGGGTTTGATTTTAGCTGATTTTTGCGGATTTTGTTTTCGAATTAATGGTAGTTTGGGGTGCGAATAGCTAAAATGCGAATTGTGTGTGTGTGTCTGTGTATGTATAGCCCACAAGGTTCTGCTAATATGTATACCTTGTGGATAAGCTAATATGCGACTTGCTTCTGTTTGCTGCTCTCTGCTGCAAGGCTGTTTATGCTATTCTGTGAAGCTTTGTTTCTTCTGTCTGGTGCTGGCTGCTTGTTTTTCAGTTGTTCTTTGGTCCTGCGTTGGTGCTCCTTGACGCTGTTATGCTGTTGTTTTCCTCTCTTATATATCAAGCAAGTGTTATAGGTAAAACTTAGTTGATCTTTATTAACTTGATTCCATAAAGAATTTCTGCCACTTTTATTTTGATTTAGTAAATTCATGTATTTTTTGAGAGATCGAGATAAGTCATGTTCCTGCAGCTAGATAAGAAACTTGGAAACTCTGCATTAAGTTTATTTGATCCAATATTTAAGTAACTTAACCTCAACAATTTACTAAGTTCAACAGGAACTGCATAAGCTATATCATTATTATACAGGTTAAGGTACTCAAGCTGTAATAACTGACCGATTTCAGCATGTATAACACCTACAAACAAGTTACTGTTGAGGTCTAAGTGAGTAAGTTGAGAAAGATTACCAATTCTTGGTGGGATTTGACCCTGCAGCAGGTTGATATTCAGGGATAAGCTTGTAAGACTAGGAAGTGCACTGAAGTCAAGGGTGCTGAGTGTGCCGTTGAGGCTTTGATTATTCAGCTCGATGTTGGTGACAGAGTTAAGGTTGTCACGGACAATGCAAGTCCAATTGCTGCAAAGACTTTGGGCATCGGAATGTCTCCATGATTTGAGTGAAGAAGGATCAGACAAGGAGTTTTTCCAACGGACTTGGGCTTATTACGGTCAAACAAGAACCTTATCCAAAAGTAGGCTTGGGCTTTTTTTTTTTTTTTTTTTTTTTTTTTTTTTTTTTTTTTAACTTGAGCTTAAACAAACAGACTAAATCAGGTTATTAAAAGAGGATAAATTACTATGAGTCGTGGTCATGCAAATATGCGTCTGTCCACTCGTTCTGTTCTGTTATATGAAGCTCTGTTTCTTCTGGCTGCTTTCTGTTTTAGTGTGGTGTTTTCTGTTTTATTTTTTTCTTTTTTCTTTTTTCTTTTTTTAGTTTTTTTTTTTTTTTTTTTTTTTTTTTTTTTTTTTTTTTTTTTCTTAAATCTAAGGTTATATTGGTCAGAGATTTTACTTTATATATATAAACTTGTTAAGCTGGATAAACTTACGAATGCAGTGTTTATTACCACAGAAACATCAAGTGAATTGTCCTCGAAAAGGAAAAAACAGCGAGGTCGAACAATGCTCCACAAAGTTCACGCACATTCAAGAGAGGAGCGTCCTATGATTGTTCTGAACTCATTAGGTTAGCCAGTTGGACCTACTAAGGAGATTGTGCAAGAGTTTCAAGTTTTTTCTGGGAACGGTGACAAGGGATTCCGAACTTGCACCGCTTAACTACAAAAATTTTCCTAGCCTACCGACACTTGATAAGATATTGGATTATGTCCAGGTAGTATACAATGATACTGTCTTAGTTGCATTACACGTACACCTCCACACGTTACTAATGTTTGAGCTTGAACAGGAGAAGTATATGGTCCCCCATGCCGGGTTAAATTGGGTGATGGATGCTGTAAATAGTTGTTGGAAATATTATAAATGCCAAATCAAGAAGAAACACTTCTATGCATATGATACGGATGATTTAAGGTGGGAACATAAACCAGATTCAATCTCCGATCAGATGTTCCAAGATCTTCTACAATATTGGCATACCAATGAGGCGAAGGTACTGTATATTGATTCTAATCTAATTCTCTCGAATAATTTTATCTAATATGTGTTTAATTTTGAATTAAATGGTGGTTTCCGATTTTCCCTAGGCAATTAGCCACAGCAACAAAAGCAATCGTCTAATGTTAGATGATATGCACACTTTAGGACGCAAATCATATGCTATTTTACGCCATGAGTTGGTAAGTACATTTTTTAAAATCTAAATTATAGGCATGTTGCATATATTTTTATTCTAATTTCATATATTATGATTTACATATATATATAGCAACAACAAGATCCAGACAAGAAAGAACCTTCTCAAGCAAATTTGTTTACAAGGAATCAAGAAAAAGAAGTGCTGAAAGGACATACATTAGCAGCTTTGAAAAAGCAAAAGAGAATGTTGTGAGTTATTCGATAATTAGTAACATTGTACGCCTAAATATTGTTAGTTATTCGATAATTAGTAACACATTACTATGTTTGCCTAAACAGGACAAAATTGATGCTTTGGAGTCAGCAGAATCACAAGAAGATGGTAATGTATGCAATGACCCTTACAGTGAAGTGATTCCACCTCCTAGACGCAAAAGTCCTTTGCATCTATATGGCTCGAGTGTGAAGAAGAGTGATTTGAAGAACAAAGATACAAAGTCAAGTTACATACTCCCGGAGGAATTCCTGGTAGGCAAAAAAGCACAATTAGTCCAAGAAATTGCACCTACCATCACCGCTGCAGTTTTGGATTCAATTCGCGAGGTGAACCCCGGGATTAATCTTGTGGTTCCTAGTACTTTGCAGCAATTGACTCCGCATGATGCATCTAGTGCACCAAATCGGAATACTGCCCAAAGTGGACAATCTTCAAAATCATTTAATCAGGTTGAATTTGCACTTCTCTGCTCTGAACTTTCTTTTTTAAACTTTCTTTTTTAAACTTCTCTGAACAGAAACATGTCATTGGTTGATTGGTTGTGCTAAATAAATAACAGAAGGTTGATTACAAAACATGACTTGCGCCAACTTTTAGTTTAACATATGCTGTAATTCAGAAGTTCTGATTCTAAATTCTGTAATATAGGGCTTTGTTTGTCATATTGCTAAATAAAATGGCTTACTTCATGAACTATTAATTCTGTTTTAATATCACTAGGGTCTAGGGTGTTTATAATAGTAGCCGATCCAATTCTTTTCACATACTGGTACTGTAGCATTTGTACTTTCATGAATAATGACATTGAGACAATCATATTGGTATTGTGATGCACATAACTGAATTGGAAATCTACTAAGCAATATCGTACGAACAGTCTATTACTGGAGCATTATGGATGGCCCCTTTTAGCTTTGGAGGGTTCCATAGTTTTTGCTCCAACATCGAACTATGGCTTCTGATGACTGCATAGTATTAGAACTACTGTGTGGGCAAATACGGGTCAAACATTTTCATCATAATCAACTCATTCAAGCCTTTAACCAGATTCTTTTTAATCCTCCCTTCTCTAATACCCCGCCTCTTGCATTTACCTCATCTTGCTGGTGCTGAATTGCTACTTAGTGCAATATTAATCAGCTATCTAGTGTTTTTGTAAGCTTGATGCTTCCTAGTCTTCATCACGCATAAGATCTTGGACACTTAATAGTTTTTGTCTCTGATTTGTGATTTCATTTTTTCTTTTTTTAATGTCTTTCAATCAATAACTTAAGGTACGTTCTAAAATACAGAACCATGGGAAGCTCTACCCAAACAGTGCAACTCTTAAGATTTTCGGTTGATCTGCCATGGCAATTTGTCTTGTGTTTGCTGATTCCACATGTCCATGCTGCCTTAAATTATTGTATTATGAATTCCTGGTTTCTGTCAAGTTATCTGTTTGTCTCAAAATGCTCCTGCCTGCTGCTGCTGCTGCTTGCCTGCCTGCCTGCTGCTGTACTGTGTGTTGCATTGTGTTGCTGTGTGTTCGTGTTGTTGTGCGTTGTTATTGTTGGTGTTGTTATTGTTGTGACTGTTGTGTTGTGGATTACTTGTCCTAATATATTATTATTTGTTTTTTACATGTAGGTGCTTGATGACGATGAGCTACCCCGGGATGAATGAAGTACGGAATAATGTTGCAAGTACTTAGTCATCTGCTTGCCTTCTGTTGCTACTACCCATCATGTCAGCTGCTTGCCTTGTATTGCTTCTGCTTTTCTCCTAGTACTCAGTGGTCAGTTTAATGTTGCTGTTTGTTATGGCTCTGTCTATGTTCTGCTGCTGCTGGTTCTGGTGCTGCTACTGCCCTGTCAGCTGCTGTGTTGTCTTCTGCCTGGTGCTGTGCTACCTCCTGCCTGGTGCGGTGATGCATCTTCCTAGCTGCTGCTAGTGTTGGTTGTTTTGTTTGCTGTTTTATTGTTTCCTTGCTTTGACGCTACTACTTAGGGCTTTGGGGCCGGTGTTTGTGTGCCCTTTGGGGCTTTAGGTGTCTTGGAGTTTAGGCCTGAGGGCTAATTGTATATGTACTTTCTTTTGCTACTTTGCAGCTCGTTTTGGTAATAATATTTTTATTTACCAAAAAAAAATTATAAATATACTAATATAATTTATATTTATTATATATTATACCTTTTAGATTTAAACGAATTAATTATATATAGTATATAGGTATAATATATAATTATATATTTCAAAAAAAAAATTAAAAAAATTACCTAATACAACGGTTTTAAAAAAAAAATAGAAAAAAAGGATCTAATACAACGGTACTAAAAAAAAAGACCTAATCCAACGGATTCATCAATGCGTTGGATTAGGTCTAATTATTCCCAAAAAAACAAAAGGGAACCTAATCCAACGGATTGAAGAAATCGTTGGATTAGGTAGATACCTAATCCAACGGATTGCTCAATCCGTTGGATTAGGTTTATTTTGCCGTTGTATTAGACCTAATCCAACCCTTGCAAATGTGACGGTTGGTAACCGTGGTTTTGGACACCTAATACAACGGAAAAAGCCGTTGTATTAGCTCTTAAATGTAGTAGTGTGTGCAGCTGCCTAGGCTGGCTGTGCAGCATGTCAGGGCTGCTGTGCAGCTTGCCTAGGCTGGTTGTGCAGCCTGCCAGGGCTGCTGTGCAGCTGCCTAGGGTGGCTGTGCAGGATCTTTTTTTTTTTTTTTTACTTTATTTTTCCCTAGACTAACATGTACGTTTGCCATTCTTACAGAGTGTGTTTAATATTCCTGATGAGCCAGACAAGAGAAGATCGTTTGAAGGTTTTGTACAAGAGAGATTCAAAAACTTCAAAAGTTCGTTGAGAACAAGATGGATCCATAAGAAACAAAGGCATAAACCGAAGAAAACTGTGATGGGTAATGCAAGAAAGGAGGAACCTGAGAAGAAACCGTGGGATGTATATCCACAAATAACGGTGAAGGACTGGGAGAAGTTTGTGGCGAAATCAACTACTACTACTGCACTTGTATGTATTATAATATAAATTAGAGTTGTTTCCTCAATTTTGCTCACTACATATTATGATGCGAACATTTGGTAATGTGTAGGAAAAAAGTCAACAAGCTACGAGCAATACTGAGAAGAAAATGTATAACCATCATATGGGTTGTAAGACATTTGCGGAAAGTAGACCAAAGTGGATCAAAGAGGGTCTATACCCCGCATCCAAAATACCATCATCTGATAAACCGCTTGATTCCACGGTCACAAGTTTGGTAAGTCGTGCAAATGATTGGTGGTGTGCTATGCATGGGATCGACAAGAACACCGGGAAGTACATCATGCACTCGGATAAAAGGCCAGTAGCAGATGCACTTGTAAGCACCCTTTGACATTTATGGTAATATTCCACAGTTATTATTAAATATTTCCATAGAAACTACATCTAACTTAGAACTGGAAACTTTTTGTGTTGTTGCAGCTCGAGCATACGTCGGAAGTGGTTGAAGGCAAGCTCACTCCAAGCATAGAGAACGATCCTTTTACCTTGGCTTTGGGAAAACCATACCACCCTGGCGAGTCATTGGTGCGGGAGGGAAACAACTAGGGTGGGAAAAGCTTATGGGTTCAGAATACACTAGATCAAGAAGAACTAGATCAAGTGTTAATTCGCCTCACCATATGAATGCCAAGGAAAAGGAATCAATTAAGGCGGAGATACGCAAAGAGGTGCAAGAACAATTGCAAAGTCAATTCAATGCCATTTTAAAGCACATGAACTTGCCAACCTTGTCTTTGCCCCCGATAACCCCAGTGGACTCATGTAGTCACCCAGAAGATGCCGGGGACGATCCACTTGTTGAGAGAGAGGTAATTGAATTACAGTTGAGAACATGAACTTCATATCATCAAACGAGGCCTTATGTAGCATAATTATTTTACTATTGCAGATTCCTACTCCTACGCATGCAGACTCAAGGGGGATTGCAAACCAGACACCTGATCCTTTTCCAGATGTTCAGGTAAATTTCAAGTCTTAATGAAATGTAAACGTATTAGGCTTACGCTGGTTAATTAGTTCATAACTTGTCCTAATCAACTGTGTAGGAAGAGACGCCTTGTGAGCTTTTTCACCCCGGCAAAAACGTGGATGGAGAGTTGGTGGGGTATGGTAGCGCACAACCGTTTGACAAGGTCCATTTTAAGTCTAATACTAGTACCCACTATATCTCGGTCGGGATCAATTCCATAGTACCAGGGTTTGAGGACTTGCCACTACCGGCACCTAGAGAGGAATATGACTTCATCACGCTGCTTGATGCGAAAGGTAGCTTTGTGCAATGGCCACGTGATCGGGTGAGGTTGATAGGAGGGGTAAGTGTACACTACTTACCTTGTTTTTAAAACATGTCCCAAATAGCTTGTAATATAACCATGTGCTTTTATGTTACAAATGAAAATCAGTCATCTAAAAGGAAGAAGGTGGAGAAGCCAAAATCTAAGAATGTCCAACCTACAAAGAACATGGAACAAGGACAAGGGTTGAAGAGTTCGAGAGGTTCTGCCACGAGTTGTACTCCACTAGTAGAAGTCGGCATCCTGAATTCGCTCTCTAGAGCTTGTACTTTTCTTCATAACCGTGTGAGTGAGTTGCCTAGGGGTAGATCTATTGAAGTGATTTTACTAAGGCATTGTTTCACTATGATGAGGATGGGATCGCACCAATTGCAAAAGAGGATGTGAAGGAATTTCTATCCGGTGCCATGCTTAACATTTCCATCGTTCAAGCTTTCATGAGGTAATGCAATGCCACTATTCCTAATCATTTTGTTGCATTTTCGACTGTAAACAATGCTTTTAATAATTATTCCCCACAATACTGTCATGAAGGGCACTACAGGAGCACGATGCTTAGGCGATTCCAAGGCTGCAGTTGGGTGGTTTTGCCCCGAGCAGACCTCGCTTACCAGATGATTGTGCAACCCTCGTGATGTGGAAGATTACCTAGAACGGAGTATCAAGGCATCAACGCGTGCGGGAGATAAGTTCATATTAGCCCCATGTTTTGAGGAGTACGTCTACAAATGTCATAAATTCAGTAGTTATTTTTTAAAAAAATTTTGAAAATGCAGTTAACTGTGGCGTATATTTGTTGACGTTTTTTCAATATATGCAGTGCTCATTGGACCCTTTTGGTGATTTGTGTTTCCAAATACACAATCTACCACTTTGATTCACTTCATCAGAATCCACCACGTAGGTTGCTAGTGAATAATATATTGAATAGGTACATATTGCTTCCTATTGTTGATTGACCTCACTTAAACCATTGAGTATTTATGTTTCTAACTTTGAACTTACTTTCTTAAAGTGTTATGAAGAAGCTACATTGTCGTTCTGCTGCGGATATACTTGGCTTCGGTTATGGCTATGCATGATTTGATATCCTTTGTGGCATGTCAGTGTGCGCAACAAGACAACGGACTTGACTGTGCCCTATACGTTATGAGGTTTATGCTTGACATAGTCAGTAGTTGCAAGGACACACAACAACTAGATGAGGTATGCTTTTACTATCTTCAACCTATTAATTGTTTTCATTATTGCACTGAACAAAACACAAGCATAACACGCAATATGCAAAGGCACGCTGCCCAGGCTGTGCAGCAGCCAAGGCAGGCTGCCCAGGCCACTGCAGCAGCCAAGGCAGGTAGGCACCCAGCCAGGCAACAGCCCAGCCAGGCAGCTGCCCAACAGCATGTACATGTACGTGATGCATGTCATTTTTGTGCATTTCGGCCATTTTGGTGATTTTCGGTGAATTTCGGTGTTGTAATACTCATGACAATGTTTGGTTTTTTTTTTCTCTAAAGTTTTGCAAGGTTCAAAGAGAAGGCCCGTTAATAAGGAATGAAATCAATGAAGTTCGCGACATGTGGGCTTTTTTCGTCACATTTGATGGCATGTAGAATTGCGGTAATGGTTATATTGGTTTGTTAGCTTGACTTTTTTAATTACTTATTATTGTCAACATTATTTTAATTAAGTATGTATTAGTATGTACGTAGTATTTCTAATTGTAATCTTAATATATTTTGGTGTAATTAAATATTGTTGTTCATTAAATATATTAATGATGTTACTTTTTATATATATAATTATTTCGTGTTATATATATTATTGTATTATTTTGTAACTAATATTAATATTATTATTAATTAATAATATTAATTTTATTATTAATTAATAATAATAAATTTATATCGATTAATAATATTATTTTACTATTAATTAATAATACTGAATTATTGTGAAAGGTCACTAATAATATTATTATATTAATATTATTAGTAATAAATTATAAAAAATAAAAAAAAAATAAAAAAAATTCTACAATTGGAAGCGGTTTGGCGCCAAAACCGCTTCCAATTGTAGAATTTTTGTTTTTTAAAAATAGGAATTGGAAGCGGTTTGGCGCCAAACCGCTTCCAATTCTAACTGACAATGGCAAGCCCCCCAAACCGAAGCGGTTCAAAACCGCTTCCAATTAGGGGGTTTGAACCGCTTCTAAATTAGTTTTTTCTACTAGTGTATCTACTGTTTTTATGCCATCTTGTTTACTCACTTCATGTTTTGATTTCTAAATATTGTTACAAATGTTGAAGCAACAATAACATGCACACAATGTAAGAGGAATTGAACTAATGAAATTGCTTAAAACAGAAATACCATACCATAACATAAGTTGGTGTAAAAAACTAGTACACCAATTGTTTTACAAAACAGAACTGCCATAACATAAGTTGGTGTAAAAAACAAGTACACCAATTGTTTTTCAAAAGATTAGTTGTCAAAGCATATAGGTATTAACATTAAAAGTTTGATTAACTTAATGAGCTTGTTGAGTTCCATGTTGGGGTGCAGACAGTGAGATGGACTGTTGAGAAGCTTTGGTTGATTGACTCAGTTGTTGGGATGAGGTAGTTCCTGCTGCTTGGCCTGCTACTGGTTGCCCTGTTGCTGCAACTTTCTTTGGTCTTCCAGGCTGCCTCTTTGGCTTATCAATAGGTGGGGTTGGACATTTATTCTTGTAATGCCCCAACCCACCACAGTTAGAGCATTTGTTTTGCACCTTTGCCCTCTTGACATTCTTCCTCTCCTTATCTTCTCCAGCTTCTTTCTTTCTCTTCTTATGTGAAGGCCTGCTAGGTAAGTTTCTATGTGCAGGAGGTAATGGCCTGGGATAAGGAGTGACTTCCCACTGCTGATGACCTGGCATTGCTTTAAAGGTTGGAGCATATGCCTTGGTGTAGGTCTCCACATGATAAGCTGGGTGGATGAAGTTCTCAATGTCTAGCCTTCTCAATTGAATACAGGCAAGTGCATGCCAGCAAGGAATTCCCATAAGAGTCCATCTGTTGCAGCTACAAGCTTTGTTTTCCAGATTCACAACATAGGTGTCTCCTGAGTCATCAACTTCAAACTCCATTAAGTGAGCTTGACTTACTCTCATGTTGGACACTTGTTGCAGACCTCTATGCACCATCTTTAGAACAGTTGGCATGATCACACCATTGAAAGTTTTCAGCCCTTCCTTTTTTGCAAAAAAACCTTCCCATTACATATCTCCTTATCCACTCCATCAACTGTAGAATAGGTTTGGCTCTAGCTTCTCTAAGAACATTGTTGAAGCTCTCACAACAATTGTTCAAGAGCATACCTGACTTGGAGAAGGTGCTGAATTTGTGTCTTGACCAATGAGCAGCTGGGATGGCTTGTAAGTAGTTGAAGGCATCTACACTCAGGTTCTTGATGTCTTGCATATGCTGCTTGAAGTGATGCTATGGCCATACATAAGCAAAATAACACAAAAGCAAGAGACATGTAAGATATGTTGCAAATACAAGCAAGCAATTGAATATGCTGTAATACAGGTTGTACCTCTGTGGTAGATCTTGCAGCTTTCCAAAAGTGCTCTTTGTAGACAGTCCCAGGGAATTTGTTCTTGAAGTTGCTCCAAATGTGCCTGCAGCAGTACCTAGTGTCTGCATTAGGCATGACTGTGGCAAATGCATCCAATAGGCCCTGTTTCATATGTTCAGAGTAAGCAATAAGCATAACATAGGTAAGTTTGGTTAAACAAAAGAACAAAGTTGTAAGCAACACAATTACCTTTTGCCTGTCACTCATGTAAGTGAGTTCATCAGCTTCATGCACCCAAGTGACAGAGTCTGCAACTGACTCAATGTCCTGTCTTAACAACTCCAAAAATCATGTCCAAGTTTCTCCATTTTCTACTTCTACAATTGCCCATGCTACTAGGAAGATGTTGTTGTTGTTATCTTTCCCCACAGCTGTCAGTAGAATGCCTGGATAAGCCCCCTTCAAGTGAGCACCATCCACTCCCAAGATTGGCCTACATCCTGCCATGAATCCTTGCTTGCAGGCTTGCAAGCACACATATAGCCTCTGGAAAACAGGTTGGGGGTTAAGCACTCCATCTACCTTCATAACAGCTGTACTTCCTAGGTTATACTTCATTATGGCAGCTGCATAATCCCAAACCTTCTCATATTCCAAAGCTGCATCCCCCAAATCATCTTGAATGCCCTCTGCCTAGCATACCATGCCAAGTAGTACTTTATTTCTACTCTACACTCTCTTCTTGCCCTCTTAATAAATGCTGCTAGCTTCCATGTGGGGTCATCTCTCCAGTCTTCAAGGTACCTCTCAGCTAAGTATTATGAACTAATCTTTGAGTTCTTATGTTGATGCCCACATATATGCTTAAGCCTAAGACTCTTGATTTGCCAAGTTGCCACCCCTTTTAACTTCATGCAATGTATCTTAAACCTACACTTCCTTCTAGCTTTGCATGTGCATTCCACAATTCTTGCTCTCTTCCAAGGACATCCACATCTATTAGCACAATATACACTCACTCTTTGGTTGTTGTTATGCAGAAAGTAAAAGTCATAACCATGGTCAATAACATGGTATTGTAAAGCCCTCCTAAAGCACTTGTTAGTTGGGAACTTTAAGCCTTTACTCAACACCACTTTGCCCTTAAAATCAGTATCTGGGTTGAACTCAGGATACACTGGCCCCTCATCATCTGAACCAACCTCACTCACCACTTCATCATCTGAATCCACTATGTCCTCATTATTCCCAATCTGCAAACCATCCTCACCATTCTGCTCAAAATCATTATCCTCAACACCCTTTGACAGACACTTAAAACTCCTAGTAACCCTCCTGTATATCATGATCTACAAACTCATCAAATAAATCATCATCATCTTTATCCTCATAATCATAGTCACTTAATTCAGCATCATCATCCTCAATATCTTGGACCTCATTTTCACTTAATTCAGGATCATCCTCCTCAAAATGTTGCACCTCATAGTCACTTAATTCACCAGTTGGTTCTGCCTCCCTGAAGTTGGTTGTGTCATTCTCAATAACCATCAACTGCTTGGTGTTTGGTTCTGGGTTGGTTTCTGGCAAGGTAGACAATGCAGGCAAAACAGTGACATCTGGAAGAACAGGGAAGCTGCTGGCAGAATTGGAAGGGGTACTTATTTCAATGAATTGGGTGGGTGGTTTTTTGTGAGCTGAAATTATTGGAAGCTTTGGCCTTGTGGCTCTATGAACTGGTTTGGAGGGGAGAACAGTTTCTGAAACTATTTTGTGAAAGTTTCTTTGGCTGCTGGAAAGCTCAGATCTAGGGTTTTTAGTTTGGAAGTCATGAACTTTGTGTGTTGGTGGACCCCCCTCTTGATTATTTAA